GCCTGAGAGGTGGCGGTGGCCACAGGGCTGGGGCGGGAGGGGGTCAGGGCCATGGGAAGGGCGTGAGGTCATCCGGGGAGTACTGCTGCACACTTCCACGTGGCTAAGGACACACTTCATTGGTGTGCTTCTTGGAAATGAAAGGTTAAGTCGTGCTAGTCGCCTGGTGAAGTGAGGGCCTCACCCCACCGCCCTCAGCTTCCCCAAGAACGAGCGCCCACTGGCAGCTGGGGGAAGGGCTGGAACATTCTTTGATCCCATGAAACACAGCATGCATTGTGATTTTTACAGATAAGCAAGCTCTAGCTATGGCCATACCAAGGAAAAACAATAAACCATGTCTCCACGCCACTCTCAGGACTCACTGCGTGTTGTCTGATGTCTCCTGTTGGTCTTGCTCAGGAACGTCCCTGTGAGCTCAGTGCGTCAGCGTTGGGGTGTTCCACGTGACACGTGACAGCGTACTCCTTGGCATCACAAGTGATAAATCAGAGGCTCTTCCTAAACCAGAAAGTGGTTTGTCTCAAACCGTGGCTCGGGAATGGGGTGCTGGTCACTGTTCTCCCTTTCCCTGAAGATAATCCTGCATAATAAAAAGGCTACTATGCAAATTGACCAAACAACTGAGTGACCTGATGTGCACTGACCACCAGGGGGCAGATGCTCAACGCAGGAGCTGCCCCCTGGTGGTCAGTGCACTCCCCCAGGCGGAGCGCTGCTCAGCCAGAAGCCAGGCTCACGGCTGGCGAGTGCAGAGGCTGTGGCAGGAGCCGCTGCCACCTCCGCGGCAGTGCTAAAGATGTCCAACTGAGGGCTTGGCCGTCCCACAGGGAATGGGCCTAAGCCGTTGGTCACACATCCCCCAAGGGGTCCCGGACAGTGAGAGGGCGCAGTCCAGGCTAAGGGACCTCCTATTCCCATGGAGTGCACGAATTTCATGCACTGGGCCTCTAGTCTTAAATACTTACAGAAGGCAATGACCAGGCTCTACTTCGGACGAGAAAGGAGGGCATTTCACCAGGTAAGATGGGGGTGAAAGAACCTTTATACAATTAAGTTAACAATGAATTTTTCCCAAAGGGAAAGAAGGGATCCTGTATAATAAAAGCCTAACATGCTAAGTGTCCAGTTGTCCAGTCGTCCATTCAACCAATCAAAGTGTAATATGCTAATGATATGCTAAGGCTGCTCAACGGCTTGCTATGATGTGCACTGACCACTAGGGGGCAGATGTTCTGACCAGTAGGTTAGCTTCCCCTCCCATGGTCCCTCCCCAGCTGGCCACCTCCCGCAACCCTGCCTGGCCCCAATCGTCCACCAGTGGGCCCCTTGGTCTGGTCTGCACTCTCTTGCAATCTGGGACCCCTCAGGGGATGTGGAAGAGCCAGTTTTGGCCGGATCCCACAGGCCAGGCTGAGGGACCCCGCTAGAGCAGGAATTCATGCACTAGGCCTCTAGTTTTTAATAAAAGACCTCCCACACCCTGAAGTGTGAAGGGAGCAGCCCCGAAGCCGCTGGCCACACAGGTCACAGGTCACAGGTCACAGGTCACGATCGTGTTTCAGTAATGTGGTTTCTGTGCTAGATTTTCTGTGCATCATGTTGCAACTTTACAACAAAATACATTCAGTTGCTGGGCTGCTGTTGCCTAAAGGATCTGACTGATGAACAAGTAAAAGAAGAAGAAAAATCTAAGCAGACCTCAGTGGATATTTAGCCATTTTCTAAACTGGCCGGAACTCGGCTGTGGCCTGGATTGCTTGCCGTTTCTCTTTTTCTGTTGTGAGGAGCCTTTCTCTGCGAGAGTGGGTCACTGACTCTAGCTGTGCCCTCAGTGAGGGCGAAGGTTTGGGTCTGTGTCTGCCTTTCTTGCTTTGGGTGAATTAGGGGAGACGCGCACTGTGCTCCGACGGCTCGTTCCGGAGTCAGTGGGAGTGTGGCCAGCGGGAAGGCAAGCGTGAGGGAAGGCCACCTCCATGGCGGGGCTCCCGGGGGCTCCCGGAGGTTCTCAGGGGAGACTCCCGGGGGGGGGGCTTCCAGGGGGCTCCCAGGGCTCACAGGGCTCCCAGGACCAGCGCCAGTTTCTCTGCGGACGTTTCAGCCCTGAGGCTATGACGTTGTCCTGTTCCCTCCCTGGGCTACGCGTGGCTGTGCCAGCGGCCGCCTCCCGCGGGCATGGAGCTGCTCTGCGCAGACAGGAGGGCGGGCTGCGTGTGCCGTGGCAGGAAGTGAAAGGGGAACAAGCAGGGCTTTGGGGAAAGTGCCCGTCTCCCCCCATTTCCTCGGAGAAACAGCGACCTGGTGTGGCCAGCCGGCCCGTCACCTGCCGCTCAGCCACCTCAGAAGGAGCGGGTGCCAGTGCTGCTTCCCCCACCCACCAGCGGCTCCTTCCAGGGCGCACACACACACACACACACACACACAGACAGGGACTCACCCCCCCACTCACACACACACACACACACACACACACACACAGACAGGGACTCACCCCCCCACTCACACATACACACACACACACACACACACACACACACAGGGACTCACCCCCCCACTCACACATACACACACACACACACACACACACACAGTCGGGGACTCACACCCCCACTCTCTCTCACACACACACACACACACACACACACACACAGACAGGGACTCACCCCCCCACTCACACACACACACACACACACACACACACACAGGGACTCACCCCCCCACTCACACATACACACACACACACACACACACACACAGGGACTCACCCCCCCACTCACACATACACACACACACACACACACACACACAGTCGGGGACTCACACCCCCACTCTCTCTCACACACACACACACACACACACACACAGATGGGGACTCACCCCCCACTCACACACACCACAGGACACACACACACACAAACACAGACAGGGACTCACCCCCCCACTCACACATACACACACACACACACACACAGACAGGGACTCACCCCCCCACTCACACATACACACACACACACACACACACACACAGTCGGGGACTCACCCCCCCACACACACATACACACACACACAGTCGGGGACTCACACCCCCACTCTCACACACACACACACACACACACACAAACACAGACAGGGACTCACCCCCCCACTCACACATACACACACACACACACACACGGGGACTCACCCCCCCACACAGACACCACAGGGACACACACACACACACACACAGATGGGGACTCACCCCCCACTCACACACACCACAGGACACACACACATACACACACACACACACACACACACACCCCACAGGACAAACACACATACACACACACACACACACCTGCACACGCGCACACACAGGCAGGGGGACTCACCCCCCCCACACACACTCACACGCACCACAGGGACACACACACACACACATACACACACACATACACAGGGACATACCTGCGCGCGCACACACACATTCACACACACACTCACACACCTTCTCGGGCTTGGCCTGCCATCCCTGCCATTACAGAGCAGGAGCCGGCATTTAACCAGCGTCTGTCAGCGAACTACCACCACCACCACCACCACCGCCACCACCACCACCACCACCACCACCACCGCCGCTCCGGCCGGCAGGAGGGCAGGCGGCACCCAGAGGGGCGGGAGGAGGGGGAGCCAGGACACAGACCTGGAGGAGCGGTGAACCGCGGGAGCTCGGACACATGAAAGCATGCCTTTATTCACGCACGCTGTGCTTGGGGCGGGCCCGGTTAAACAGCTATGTCTGGCCCCCGTGGCTCAGGAGGTCACCTTCAATCCCAGTCAGGGCACGTGCCCAGGCTGTGGGCTCCATCCCGGTGGGGGCTTGCAGGAGGCAGCCCATTCATGACTCTCTCTCATCTTTGATGTTTCTCTCTCCCTCTTGGTTCCTCTCTGAAGTCAATAAAAACATATTTTTAAAGTTATGTCTAATGAAAAGAATGGATAAATGATCTTGGAAAAAACAGGCTGTCTTAGCACAAATGCCCTCTTCTCCACACACACTAACGGCCCTCCTTTCTGATTCTCCCTGACTTCCCCTTTCGAGTCCTCCCGCTCCGTGTCCTGCCCCCCACGCCTCCCGCCCCCCCCCCCCACACCCAGCGCGGCTCACAGAGGCCCGTCCTGCCTCCTCTGCCCGCCTCCCTGGCCCTGTGCCCACGTGCGCCCGTAACAACCTCCGCGGTGTTTGTGTGATGACGGGATGGGAAGGAAAGGACACGCCATCAGGCCCCGTGGGATGTGTGAGACCTAAAGCTCCTTAACTCTGGGAGGGCTTCTTTAATAAAAACAAACTTACAGGAGCTCATTTCTGCAGCGTTTACAGAAACAGATGCTATGCGAACACATGGCCGCTTATCCCGAGCGTGCGAGGGCCGCCAGGCCGAGCGCCCCTCGCTCCCGTGAGGACGCCGCTCTGCGTGGTGGGCGAGCACTGCGCCCGCAGGCTGTGAGCGCCGCGGCTGTGGAAGGAGCACGCTGTCAGCACGCAGCGCGATGCCGTGGGGTGGCGTGCGTGGGCACAGCTGCTTTCCGCCGGTGCGGCACTAGCTTCCGTCTCCTTGTCTGCAGTGTCTGACCCAGAGGAGGCTGCCCTGGGTCAGCATGAGGACATGTAGATGTTAGTGATGAAAACACTCCATTGTCATGAGAAGGATGTGTTCTAATTGTGTTTAAAGTATTGGTGTGGGGCTTCCTACCTTATTTTTTCTAGTTCACCCTTCCTAATGAGAAGAAAACTTTTTAAAATAACTGACCAAGAGTTGGGCACAGGCTGTAGCTACACCCCCTGTCCACCCACGCGCTCCTCCCCATCTGCCTCCCACACTCAACTCAAATCAGTTTTACTGAATGCTTCTTTAACAAAAGTTCCGACTCAAGAAATGCTGCTGTATGAAATTAAGTGGGATGGAAAATAATGGAGTTTAATGAAATTAAATCCACTGAATCGAATTGCCAAGTGTGTACAGGGCCTCCACTGCTGCCACGTGTTGTCTTCTGAGTCCAGCTGGCCTCCAGCAGGTCACCGCATCACCAGCTGGCACCCGCAGTGCAGTGTGTGTGGGCGTCCCAACAAGCCAACACCGGTATTTTCCTAAGAAAAGGAAAGTGGGTGGAAGCCCTAGCTCTCATGCTTTTCACAGTACTGGGGCAAAATAAACGCCCTGTGTCTGGTGCACCGCTGTCAAAGGGACAGACATGCACCTTGAATGTCCCTGAGTTGGTCCGCTCTTTGCAAAGGTCCAAAGTAAAACGGATGGGGGAGGGCAGCAGGCGTGCACTGTGCCAGTTCGGGCCACAGCGACAAGCTCCCTTCAAGTCTGGGGGTTATTGTGGGAACTGCTCCTGAGCGCCCCTCCTGGGATGGATGATGCGTTTGTTAAGACAAGGGAGACTTCTACTTTGTCACCACCATTTATGGCCAAAAGCCACTGAACTTGGACTCAAGCTATTCTTTTCTTTTCTTTTCTTTTTTTTAAATATATTTTATTGATTTTTTACAGAGAGGAAGGAAGAGGGATAGAAAGTAGAAACATTGATCAGCTGCCTTCTGCACACCTCCTACTGGGGATGTGCCCACAACCAAGGTACATGCCCTTGACCGGAATCGAACCTTTCAGTCCTCTATCCACTGAGCCAAACCGGTTCTGGCAAGACTCAAACTATTCTAAAAAAAGATTAAATGAGACCATTAGAAGACAGTAAACGTTTACCAAGTCTTGCAGCTAAATGATTCTGAACAAAAATAAAACAATTCTAGACCTCATAGGGACTGGATTGAATGAGCCTTGCAAATAAGAGTGAAACAAAGATTAACATCACACTTCTTTTCACAAGCTTGATTTCTAGTGGAGTAATGAAGCATAGAGGCCCAAGCCTTCCTTTCTGTGTCTCCAGGCAAGAGCTGGCAGTGCCACCGGAGTCACGCAGGACACGGCTCTGTGAAGGCGAGCTCAGCTCTCAGATGGCTCTGATTCCGCTAGAGAAACCCTCCCGACTTCTCCCGTCCGCTTGCTGCTGAGAACGTCGTACTGTTGTATGCTTCTGCCCTTCGGCTGAAGGTAAAAGTATTTTTGCTTGTTCTCAGGAAAGTCATTGAATCTGAACATGAACATCACAGATGACCACAGTCTTAGTGCCTTAAAACAACACAGGCTGGAAGTAGAGGCAGGAGCACGGGCCAATGGCCAGCTGTAGGAGATTTCCCTTCACCTCAACTGTCTGTCCCCTCCTGGCTATTTTCACAATAGTTAGTGTCTCCCACTAAGGAAAGTAGTAAAACTTTTTATATATACTATGGGCCCTCAGAAATAAGACACCTATGAAGAAGAGCTCTTAGTGGCTAACTAGACTAAATTTAAGTTAAAAACAAAACAAAACACAAATCCCCTTCCCTGATGCCTTCCAAAATCCAGCCTAGCAGCATTTCTGCACAAGGCCCTCTCACACAAACTGCACTAAGCTACCTGCCTCTGCCCTCAACCACCTGCCTGTGTTCTGCCATCTGAGAGGCCCTTATAAAGGAGTTCCGGGAGTCCAATTTCAACCAATAGGACTGAGGCTTTCTCCATCTAATTGGAACTTGCAGCTCTGACCAATCAGAGTGGTTTGATTCTAACCAATCATCACAGTCCCTTTAAACCAATCAAAATGTGAGGATTTGGAGTTCTCATTTGCATGAGGGCAGACCAATCAGGAACCAAGGGTGGGGACTTCTGTTCACATAAGCTGGCTCTCCTGTGGTTCTGGGAGTTGCCTTTTCTACTGAAGAGTGTTCTGGCCTGGAGCCAGAGCTGAGCTGTTTGCACTGAGGGAAGCTTCCTTCTTCACCACATCCAAAATGGGGATTCCTGCTGTCCCTGGGCTGGGGCAGCATCAGTTGATAATATAATCCTCCCACATAAGAAACAACTTGATGCTATGGAAAAAGAACTAGATTTTTAAATAATTAGATTGAGGTCCTTTATCCACCACATATCAAGTACCTTGGTCAGGTTACTGTTCCCAATTTTAGTTCTGAAAAAGATCCCTGTCCATGTAGAACATGTTTGTGTGGACGACAGGGGCCACATGCTGACCTGACAGCTCAGGGGAGCCCTGCATGGCCGTCTTGCAAACTCAGACCTAAAGTCACCACAAAGGATGGTCTGAAGTTAAACTTTAACTAAATGCAGTTATGGTAGGCAGTTACCTCCTAGGCTGGTATTTTCACTGACATGGTCAACCTTTATCTTAACTGAGCCTATCTGTCTTTTTGAATCTATGATAACATATCCTTGAAATGTCTGAGTAACTTGTAACTTCCCTTTTTCTGGAGCCCCTGGGGCACAACCAAATGTGCCGGGCACCAGGACAGATACCACAAATTCCTTCATTATCATGTTAATTGTTCCTGCACCCCCTAAGTATGTGTCCATCATTTTACTTTTTAGCCAATCCTAGGGGTCCCTCCTCCATTTTTTCTTCCTCACCACCCCTCCACCACTTTGCTTTATCACACTTTCTTAATCTATCACCAATGAATTTCATGTAACTCACCTATGTCCCTCCTTTGATTGCAATGTATAAATATAAATGTAGAGGGAGAAACCAAGATGGCAGCATAGGTAAACACCTAAACTGCAGCCTAGCACAACAATTTCAAAAATACAACTAAAAGACAAAATGGACATCATCCAGAACCATAGAAAAGCTGACTGACTGGAAATTCTATAACTAGAAGGAAAGAGGAAATAACAAGGAAAATCAGAGGAACTGTAAAAGCTTGAGGTATGGAGACATGAGCATGTGCGCGTGCAGAGAGGACGGAGCCGAGAGGACAGGGTGGCTGAGGGCCTGGCTGGAGTTCTATAGCATGAAGGAGATAAAAGCTCCCAACTGTGCTGAACCCTAGTTCCAACTGCATTGAACCCCAGTTCTGGGGACACAGGCTTATATAGTTGGAATCTGGGTTTTACAGCAGAAACTCAGGGGAGCAGTGAAAGGCAGAGCTCTGGAGGCATGCACGTGAATGCACGCAGAGAATGGACTGTTGACTGTGCTACTGGATTGCCCTAGCAGGAAGGAGACAAAAGCTCTGGACTGTGCGAACCCTAGTTCCAACTGCACTGAACCCCAGTTCCAGGCAAGAATCTGGGAATCCAGATTCAATAGGGGAAAGACTAGACTGTCTGGCAGTGGTCAAAACTTGAGGGTGCCTTTATCTCATAGGTGCTTGCAGTGAGTTCTGAGGAACACTGAGGGACACTGAGACCCAGGAACCTCATAGGGCAGGGCTGATGGGAAGCCAAGGCCGTAGGCTCCACCCTGAAAGCCCACCCCATCCAAGCTGAGCACAGAGGCTTTTGCAATTTTGCAACTCTATTCGAATAAGGCTGTCTCCCAGCATAGACACAGCTGATCCTCACACCCAATTGACCTGGAGATCAACTCCTCCCACTAACAATCAAGACTTAACTACAACAAGGCTGTACACAGAGTCCACAAAGAAGTGCACCAAGAGTGTCCACCTCAGGTAACTGGGGAGGCCGAGCCACTGGCCCACATAGGACACCTAGCACACAAAGCTCCTTTACCAACTCAGGGAAGCAGTGAAAATGCAGAGACAAAGAAACAGATCACAAAAGAAAGAAATGGAGGAAAACAAACAACTGGAGATAGAGTTCAAAACCACGGTTATAAGGTTTTTCAAGAATTTCCTAGAAAAGGCCAATAAATTTAGCCAGACCCTCAAGGATATGAGCGAGACCCTCAAAGATATGGAAAAGGAACAACTAAAAATTAAACATACACTGACTGAAATAAAAAATATTATACAGACACCCAACAGCAAACTAGAGGAATGCAAGAATCAAGTCAAAGATTTGAAATACAAAGAAGCAAAAATCACTCAACTGGAAAAGTTAAAAGAAAAAAGAATCCAAAAATTTGAAGATAGGGACAACTTCAAAAGTACCAACTTCAGAATTATGGGGGTGTCAGAAGAAGAGAGAGAGCAAGACACTGAAAACTTATTTGAAGAAATAATATGAGAAAACTTCCCCCACCTGGTGAAAGAAATAGACTTACAAGTCCAAGAAGCACACAGAACCCCAAACAAAAGGAATCCAAAGAGGACCACACCAAGACATGTCATAATTAAAATGCCAAGAGCAAAAGACAAAGAGAGAATATTAAAAGCAGCAATAGAAAAACAGTTAGTTACTTACAAGGGAGCACCCATACTATTGTCAACTGATTTCTCAACAGAAACTATGCAGATCAGAGGGAGTGGCAAGAAATATCAAAAGTGATGAATAGCAAGAACCTACAACCAAGTGTACTCTACCCAGCCAAGCTGACATTCAGAATCAAAGGTCAGCTAAAGAGCTTCACAGATAAGAAATGCTGAAAGGTATTCTCTAAGAATAGGAAGAAGAAGAAAAAGGTAAAGATAAAAATTATGAACAACAAATACATATCTATCAACAAGTGAATCTAAAAATCAAGTGAATTGCCAAAACCAGTTTGGCTCAGTGGTAGAGTGTCGGTCTGTGGACTGAAAGGTCTCGGGTTTGATTCTGGTCAAGGGCATGTACATTGGTTGTGGGCACATCTCTGGTAGGAGGTGTGCAAGAGGCAGCTGGTTGATATTTCTCTCTCATCAATGTTTCTAGCTCTCTATCTCTCTCCCTTCCTCTCTGTAAAAAATCAATAAAATATATTTAAAATAAATAAATAAAAATCAAGTGAATTAAAAATCTGATGTACAGAATAAACTGGTGAATATAATAGAACCAGGGGCATAGAAAGGGAGTGGACTGACAACTCTCAGGGGGAAAGGGTGTGTGTGTAGGGGGGGTGGGAAGAGGCTGGACAAAAATCGTACACCTATGGATGAAGACAGTGGGGGGGGAGTAAGGGAAGAGGGTGGGATGGGAACCAGGTGGAAGGGAGCTATGGAGGAGAAAAGAGGAACAACTGTAATAATCTGAACAATAAAGATTTATTAAATAAATTAAATAATAAAAAAATAAATAAATAAATACAAATGTAACCCACCATTCTCCAGGGCAATATCTCAATTTGTTGAGATTCTGTTTCCTGGCATATGTT